GGAGTGCTGCACACGATGAAGCTAGATCTCATTAAATATACAGATCTACTAAATTAAGACATTTAACTAGTTTACTCAGATTTTTGATTTATGTTGTTGTACTGTATAATAATTTGGCCGTGTATATACATGTATTAAACATGTGTTACCAGTAAACTAAATACTCTCTTTTCTGTTTTGTAGGCTGTTTGGGCTGGCTGGGGCCATGCTTCAGAGAATCCCAAGTTACCAGAACTACTCCATAAAAACGGATCATATTTATCGGTAAAATTAATCAATTTTAAGACACTCTCTGAGGTATCAATGTTTGTAGACACTTTATTTATTTTGCAGAAATAATTTGAAAATATATTTTGTAAAGAAATACTTCTTTTTTAGGTCACCTGAGTAAACTCAGGTGACCTATTGCTATCTGTTTTTGTCCGTCGTCGTCCGTCATTCGTCGTTCGTCGTCAATCGGTCGTAAACTTTTGAACATTTTCAGCTTCTTCTCTGCAACCACTGAACCAATTTCAACCAAATTTGGCACAAAGCATTTATGGGTGAAGGGGAACAAAAATTGTGAATTTCATGATCCCTGACCCCCTGGGGCCTGGGGGTGGGGCCAAAACCACTAAAATTAATGCAATCTTCAAAAATCTTCTTCTTTACTCCTGGACATCAAGCAGTCAAACTGTTTGCATGATTGTAATCAGCATTTAGTCCTTTACCAAAATTGTGAAATTCATGGCCCTGGGGTCAGGGGTTCTTGTACTAGGGCGGGGCTAAATAAGTATATGGTGAAAATGCATTATTTCTTTGAAAATCTTCTTCTCTGCTCCAGGGTATTAAATAAACTAACTAAGTACATAGTTATGATGAACAAGAGGGCCTCTACCAAAATTGTGAATTTTATGGCCCCAGGGTCAGGGGTTCTGGTGTCAGGGTGGGGCTCTATTGATTATATAGAGGAAATACATGAATTCTTTGAAAATCTTCTTCTTTACTCCTGGGTATTAAATAAACTTACTAAGTATATATAGTTATGATGAGCAAGAGTGCCTCTACCAAAATTGTGAATTTAATGGCCCCAGGGTCAGGGGTTCTGAAGTTAGGGCGGGGCTCTATTGATTATGTAGTGAAAATACATGAATTCTTTGAAAATCTTCTTCTCTGCTCCTAGATTTTATATAATTTAACTAAGTACATAGTTATGATGAGCAAGAGTGCCTCTACCAAAATTGTGAATTTAATGGCCCCAGGGTTAGGGGTTCTGGTGTTAGGGCAGGGCTCTATTGATTATGTAGTGAAAATACATGAATTCTTTGAAAATCTTCTTCTCTGCTCCTAGATTTTATATAATTTAACTAAGTACATAGTTATGATGAGCAAGAGTGCCTCTACCAAAATTGTGAATTTAATGGCCCCAGGGTCAGGGGTTCTGGTGTTAGGACGGGGCTCTATTGATTATGTAGTGAAAATAAATGAATTCTTTGAAAATCTTCTTCTCTGCTCCTAGATTTTATATAATTTAACTAAGTACATAGTTTTGATGAGCAAGAGTGCCTCTACCAAAATTGTGAATTTTATGGCCGCAGGGTCAGGGGTTCTGGTGTTAGGGTGGGGCTCTATTGATTATATAGTAAAAATACATGAATTCTTTGAAAATCTTCTTCTCTGCTCCTAGGTTTTATATAAACTATCTAAGTACATAGTTATGATGAACAAGAGGGCCTCTACCAAAATTGTGAATTTTATGGCCCCAGGGTCAGGGGTTCTGGTGTCAGGGTGGGGCTCTATTGATTATATAGAGGAAATACATGAATTCTTTGAAAATCTTCTTCTTTACTCCTGGGTATTAAATAAACTTACTAAGTATATAGTTATGATGAGCAAGAGTGCCTCTACCAAAATTGTGAATTTAATGGCCCCAGGGTCAGGGGTTCTGAAGTTAGGGCGGGGCTCTATTGATTATGTAGTGAAAATACATGAATTCTTTGAAAATCTTCTTCTCTGCTCCTAGATTTTATATAATTTAACTAAGTACATAGTTATGATGAGCAAGAGTGCCTCTACCAAAATTGTGAATTTAATGGCCCCAGGGTTAGGGGTTCTGGTGTTAGGGCAGGGCTCTATTGATTATGTAGTGAAAATACATGAATTCTTTGAAAATCTTCTTCTCTGCTCCTAGATTTTATATAATTTAACTAAGTACATAGTTATGATGAGCAAGAGTGCCTCTACCAAAATTGTGAATTTAATGGCCCCAGGGTCAGGGGTTCTGGTGTTAGGACGGGGCTCTATTGATTATGTAGTGAAAATAAATGAATTCTTTGAAAATCTTCTTCTCTGCTCCTAGATTTTATATAATTTAACTAAGTACATAGTTTTGATGAGCAAGAGTGCCTCTACCAAAATTGTGAATTTTATGGCCCCAGGGTCAGGGGTTCTGGTGTTAGGGCGGGGCTCTATTGATTATATAGTAAAAATACATGAATTCTTTGAAAATCTTCTTCTCTGCTCCTAGGTTTTATATAAACTATCTAAGTACATAGTTATGATGAACAAGAGTGCCACTACCAAAATTGTGAATTTAATGGCCCCAGGGTCAGGGGTTCTGGTGTCAGGGTGGGGCTCTATTGATTATATAGAGGAAATACATGAATTCTTTGAAAATCTTCTTCTTTACTCCTGGGTATTAAATAAACTAAGTACATAGTTATGATGAGCAAGAGTGCCTCTGCCAAAATTTTGAATTTTATGGCCCCAGGGTCAGGAATTCTGGTGTTAGGGCGGGGCTGTATTGATTATACATGTATAGTGAAAAAACATTAAATCTTTGAATATTTTCATCTTTGTTCCTAGGTTTTAAGCAGATGAATTACCTATATAGTTATGAGCAATCCCTAATCTTCAAGAATTGTAAATTTCAAGGCCCCAGGGTCAGTTGTACCATAGTGGGGGGGGGGGGGGAGGGGGTGTACTTGTGTACTGAAAATGAATGAATTGCTTGAAATGTGCTCCTTGGTATTAATTAGATATTTTTAAAAAGCAAGTATGCCTTTCCAAAATAGTGCAATGTGTGGATCTAGGCCTAAGAGTCAAGGGTTCATGTGTGGTAGCGGCACTACTGATTATTGCTGAATATTACTGATCAGTTGAAATGCATTTTTTGTTCCCCTACCCTGCCTATGGGTATAAAGTAACCAAACTAAGGAACTGCTAAGTGTATAGTTATGATGACCAGGTCGTAAATGCCATAGCATCTGGCTTACAACATGGATCAAATTCAGTCACTGGAAAGTTGTTGAATAATGCTCGGGTGACCTATAAGGCCCAGGGGCCTCTTGTCTTAACCTATAAGGTCATATATGTATGAGGCATTATCTTTGTGTAGTTTGTTTCACATAAGATGTAGAGTTATCTTTCCTTGTTTTTGTTCAGGTCCACCAGAGGGAGCTTGTCCATTTTTGAGTACACCTTTCCGTAGACAACGTAAAGAAGTTTGGATTAGGAAACTAGGGACAGCCTTTCCCTATGGATGTAATGACAATGTCGATAGTGTAGGAAATCTAACAAGCCCACAGTGTAATAATGTAAATGTGATGGGACTTTTTAACAATACTCAGAGACGTAAGCGTAGTCATGGACATCGTTCGTACAATAAACCTGCAATACACGACGTCTCTTTTGATTCATTACGACCTTATGTAAATCAACAGTTAGGTCTACATCATATTCGAACCAAACTTTACTCTGTCCCTTTGAAACTTTTAATATAGTCTTCTTGAAAAGACCAAGGAACATCCAAATTTAGATTCCTCGACACCTGAATATAGGCTCGGTTCTGTGATTATGGATATTGCACATCATAGGCTTTTTAAACCCGCACGTTTCACGGAAGAAAATGCAACTAAAACAATCCGTCTTTTCCTTAAACTTCAATATGCCAATAAAGGAATTGACGCGGTAAATATTTGTAATATTCTTAGTCACAAAAGGGTCCAGTCTTATATTCCACCATATTTCAAGTTAAAGACTACGCCTTGTATTTCCTACAAATATACATCGACCATTGCTTCCAAACTTTTCAATTACAAAAATACTTTAAATGGCCTGGATATTGACTATCTGAAAAATAATCCCCTTTCGTGTTCATGTTCTTCTTCGCCCTATAACTATAGTCCTGCTGGACACGTTATTACAGGTGACGTAAATATAGTTTGTAATGAGGACCTTAGATCACTTATTTTAAAAGGTCCTAAATATAGGGAACCCCGATCCTTCAACTGGCGTCAGAATTTCATAAATATTATGGATTCTGTTGAAAATTACGCCAGACGATGGGCTAGATATGAAAAAGAAGACATTGACACCTTGTCAGAATGGATTAAATGTATCAGATCCATGTTAAAGTCACGTATTAAAAGATTGAGGGGCAAAATGAAAACCATCTATCCTTCTGTGTTCAATAAACCAGAAGTGAAAAAAGAATTAAATAGATTACACGATCAGTATGTACTGGTTCCTGCCGACAAAGCAGGTAACAACATTGTCTTCGTTTGTAAGGCTCATTATATTAATTGCATTTTAGAAGAACTTGGATTTAATTCTACGAGTGGTAATCCTACTTATACATATACTACTCTTTCTAAGGAAGAAATTCTTCAAAATCACCTGTTAGTTTTGAATACTTTTAATATTCCACAGAGCCAAAATGAATTTGAACTACCTTATATATATTGGATTCCGAAACTTCATAAGAATCCTTACAAACAAAGATACATTGCAGGTTCCAGTATATGTTCAACCAAGCCTCTTTCGTTACTTCTCACTAGAATATTGACAGTAGTGAAGGAAAAACTTCAAGAGTACTGTACAACTATATATTCAAGAAGTGGTGTAAATCAGATGTGGATACTTAAAAATTCTAAAGAACTTTTGGACAATTTGAAATCACAAGACTTTACAAAAATCAACAGCATAAAAACTTACGACTTTTCAACTTCATACACAACAATTCCCCACGACAAATTAAAATCCAGGCTTTTTGATATCATTGACAGCTGCTTCTTCAACAAAAATGGAACTCGTAAGTTTACTTACCTCGTCATTGGTCATTTGAAAAATTATTTTGTTAAAACAGATTCTGATTGTACACATAAGTACTCTGAAGTTGACATCAAGAAGATGCTTGAGTTTCTGATTTACAATATCTATGTGGTTTTTGGAGACCAGGTATTCCAACAATCTATTGGAATTCCCATGGGTACAAATTGCGCTCCGTTATTAGCAGACTTATTTTTATATCCATATGAAGCAGAATTTATGCAAAATCTTTTGCGTGAAAAGAAAAAAGCACTTGCTGTGGCCTTCAACTCGACATTTAGATATATCGACGACGTATTGTCAATTAATAATGATAATTTCCATTCCTACGTCGACACGATATATCCTGGTGAGCTTGAGATAAAAGATACCACAGAGTCCAACATATCTGCTTCATACTTGGATATTTTACTTGAAAAAGACACAAATGGTAATTTAACAACCAAGCTATATGATAAACGTGATGACTTTAACTTTTCTATCGTCAACTTCCCTTACTTATGCAGCAATATACCTTCATCACCTGCATACGGAGTATTTATATCTCAGTTGATTCGATACGCAAGAGCATGCTCTACGTATGAACAATTTCTTAAACGAGGTAAATTATTGACAAGCAAGTTGATGAAACAAGAATATCAACAGTCTCGTTTAAAGTCATCATTTCGTAAATTCTATGGTCGATACAATGACCGTGTCAGCAAATACAATTTATCATTGAATGAAATGCTGACTGACGTTTTTCATACCAATTGTTAGTCCATTATTTATACAATGAATTGACTACGGATTTTTTCCGTTATTTCCTGATTATGACAATGAGCACACGGCGGGTGTGACCGGTCAGCAGGGGATGCTCACTCCTCCATGGCACCTGATCCCACCTCTGATGTTTCGGAGGTCCGTGTTTGCTCTGCTCTTGTTTTGTATATTTGTTTAATGGACGTTGAGATTGAATACTGTTCGTTATTTCCATATCCTTATATGTACCATTTTTGATTTTCTAGGTTTTCTCCTTAATCAGAGAAATGAAGATTTATTTAATTGATTGATTGTTATTTTCTTAAAACTGATTTGTCAATATTTCGGCAGAGAGAAATGAGGAACTTTATTACCCCTACATGCTAAGAAGAACAAAGATCAAATCTATTCTAACAAATGCATGAATTACTCGAAGTAAAAACAATTATAATATATGTACAGCAAATTTTCCCTTTCACCTGATATAAATTTTGAACTACTTTGAAGGGGGTCATTTTTCAATGGAGGTCAATTTTTTATAGGACTAACATATAAAATAATGACCCCCATTGACTCTTTTTCTACAAAAAATGACTTTTTTCTACTAGTGGGGGGTCATTTTTTGTCATGGAAAAATGACCCCCGGTCATTATTCGATGGGGGTCATTATTCGTCTTTACACCGGTACAATACCTAAATAATCAGTGTATTATATTTCTCTGTACGCTGCCGTGACGCTGGCTAAGATGGTGCGGTACGTCAGTGCCAGTATGGTGGAGTATCTATATAATCAGTGTATTATATTTTCTCTCTAGGCTGCAGTGACACTGGCTAAACTGATGAGATAAGTCAGTGTTGGTACAGAGGAGTATCTATATATTAATCAGTGTATTATATTTCTCTCTATGCTGCAGTGACACTGGCTAAGATGGTAAGATACGTCAGTGCCGGTACGGTGGAATATTTATATAATCAGTGTATTAAATTTCTCTGTAGGCTGCAGTGACACTGGCTAAGATGGTGCAGTACGTCAGTGCCGGTTCGGTGGAGTATGTGTATAATCAGTGTATTATATTTCTCTAGGCTGCGGTGACCCTGGCTAAGATGGTGCAGTACGTCAGTGCCAGTCCGGTGGAGTATCTCTATAATGAGTGTATTATATTATTGTCCAGGCCGCGGTGACACTGGCTAAGATGGTGCGGTACGTCAGTGCTGGAACGGTGGAGTATCTTTATAACGAGGAGACAGAGACGTTCCACTTCCTGGAGCTCAATCCACGTCTACAAGTGGAACATCCGTGTACGGAGATGGTGGCCGACATCAACCTACCGGCCGCCCAGTTACAGGTAAAGGAAAAACAATGACAGATTGCCATCGCTGTTTTTTGACATTTTTGTAGTTAACGTTTTAGAAGTGTATATTAGGATGAAATAAAGATTCTCTTGGAAAATAAATTTCCATGCGTGGAATAAAACTGTATTTTTTTGAGTCAAATTGTGTCTGCAAAAAATAGAACATACAGCTGCCTGTTTACTTCCTTCCTTTAATTTTTGGCAAATGCAGGTCATAAGAAACAAATACCTGAACATAATGAGTTACATATGGGAATAATTTTATCTGAGCTAATAAAATAAGACTGAAAATGTTATTTAACTTTTTAATGCACGATAGCAACAACATAGTTTATAAAATTACTCAATCGGGAAAATGAGCTTTGACTTACGTTGCTTATCTCCCTTATGTCAGATAGGCCCAGTGGCTGTTCAAAGCTACAATGTATGCAATGTTTACAAACTGTCATGTCATTTTGCAGCTTAATTTTAACAAATATCATAATCAATTTTTTTCCTCAAGTGAGTAGATTTTAGCCTCTTGTCATCCATAACCTCTCTAACAAGTTTTTAAGTAATCTATTCACAGTCTAAAACACAAATAGACAACCACAAGATTTTTTATTCTGATCCTGAAAAAAATGTAAAGGAGCTAAAAAATTCAATTATATTATTAAATACAAGAATAAACCACAAAGATTCTAATTTGTTCAATTTATAAGTGGATATAGCTGAGCCTTGTTATGTTGATATCCAATACTAATTACAACAGACTGAAAGGAATATAGCTATTTAACCTTATTTTTGAAATTTGATGCTCAATTCTCATATCCTATATCTCCCCACCCCCAGCTCCAACATAAATCCTAACAACATCGATGTGCGTCTACGTTTACATGACATTGTATGAATGAGTTTTTATTACATGTACAACATATCATATCAGTATAAAATAACTTCAAAATTGTACAATGGTGTGCCATGAAATACATTATTCTCATAAAGGTAGAACCAATGTACATTACAGATGAAAAAATATAACAGTTTACTATACGACAATGTGCATGTTGGAAATTAATCAAGAGAACAGGTTTAGATATATAAGCTTTATAAAGATTGCCCCCCAATTATATACATCAACATGTAAACCGAACAAAACCCAGTAGACCTATATATATATATTTATCAACTGTTAAATTATTCAGAATAAAAATTGACTGAAAATATCATTTGAATTTATGAATTAGTAAATTTATTATTTATTAAATAATTCACCTTTAACATGTATAGCAACTAGTAAGATTATTTTCAAAGTATAGTCACTGTGTCTTTTAAATTTATGAGTTATTGTGAAACTCAAAACTATTCATTTCCAATATACCACTGATACACACGATTCAAAATGTCTACTTGTTTAACAATGAAAAATATTATAACTGTGTAATATGACATGTGAACACACAGAATGGTTTTATAAAAGAATAAATGTACTTAACTGCAATCATTATGTTATTTTTCACTGTAGATACTTGTACACTGTCAGTGTGTTGGTGTCATATTGTCCCACATAGAGATTGTTCTCATCATCCACACACACACTACGGGGACGGTATACACCTTGTTGTTCTGTGAGTAATAGAGACAAGAACTGACCGTCCTGATCAAGGAGGTGAACAGTGTCACTGTAACCATCACACACCAGGATGTGACCGAGGACATCAGTACAGATTCCATAGGGATAGAAATCTGACCCCTGACCTGTGTAGGAGAACCTGTGTTTTCCTGATTTATTCACTACCACTACTAACCTACTGCGGTTTGATACACAGATATCTCCATTGATGTTTTCTGTGATGTAGTGTGGTGTAATATACAGTCCCTGCCCTTTGTTATCCCACTGTATGTTCTGTAGTTCTTTTCCTGTCTTGTTGTACCTGGTGACTTTAGCCTCTGTATATGTCTCCATCCCCACCAGTAAGTCCCCGTTGATGTTGGAGGAGTGTATGCTGAGTGGACTCCAGTCTCCAGTTTTAATGAATTCAGTGATTTTATTATCCTGTGTTATCCTATTGATGACTTTATTGTATTGGTCTGTAAAGATCAGACCCCTGTCCTGTGTGACTGTGTGGTAACCTTGAGATCTACCACTGGTTTTTATCTTCTGTATCACATTCCCCTGTAGATCTGTTTGGACAAGATTACCCGCATCATCACTGATCCAGAGTCTGTCTGATTGATCTAGTGATACATGGAATACACCATCATCACTGATCCAGAATCGATCTGTCTGATTGATCTAGTGATACATGGAATACACCATCAACACCTGGTACATTGAACTCCCTGACCTTGGTGACAGAGGCAGATAGAGACATTGTTTGTTTCTTGTCAGATTTCTTTCTGTCTTCTTTCATCTGTTTATGTGTAGGTTTCATTGCTGTATTGTAGACACTTTTAATGGGCCTTATTTCTCTCTTCTCAGCTTTAGTGTTGGGGACCTGTATTTTTCCCAGTAATTTAGTGACATCACTTTTGCTGTATTGACCAACAGTAAATCCTGGTGTGACTGGTTTTGTTGTCTCTGGTATGGATCGGATCTTTGGTTTCTTCTCAGACATTAATTTCTGGGTTTCTGTAGAGGACAGGCATCTGTGGAGCTCTTTGACAAGGTTATTTAGATAAGTGATGTAATCATCCATTGTCTTGTCTTGGGTGTTTAGATCTTCTAACAGTGAATGTTCTATCTGGTCTAACTGCTTCATGTTATTAGATATGACTGTGTCCACCAGACTTTTCAGGGTCTCACCTTCAGTCTTCATGGATGTTCTAATGTTTTCCATAAGGTTTTTGATTTCTGAGGAATCTTTTTTAATTTCTTTCTGTAAATCTTGTGATGTAGGGAGAAAATACTCATGAATTTTGGAGATTTCCTTTTGGAAGAGTGCAAATTTTTCTGCGTAGACATCTTCAAGATCAACAAATGTATGTTTTGGGTGGTCTCCCTTTGTAGCACATTTAGAACATAACGGAACCTGGCATTCTTCACAGAGCATGTCCACATCTTTTGTGGGGTGGATCTTGCATTTCTCCACAGGAAGTTGTCGTTTACGTTGTTGGTAAAGGACCACCTCATGGTTCTTGTTTTCTGGACTTTTCAGATGTTCATCTCTACATTGTTTACACAATCTTTGATGACAAGGGTTGCAGTAGAACTCACAATTTCTTTCACAGTCTTCAATTCCACATTCTAAAAAGTGCTGGGCCCAGCGGGGAATATCAATTTTAGAAAACGCCATCTGAAAAAATAGGATTGTATGTTGTTAGTATACATATGTTCTAACCTATATTTGTTTTAGAATTGGGGAAAAACAGATATTATTTGTAAACATGTCAAAAGTGATATAATTATTCATTCAATTTGCTAAATAATTTTTTTCTTGGTTTTTATTCTATCATTCATATAAATTTAAAAGTTGATTTAAATGAGATTAAATGACCTTTATTGTACATGTACTTACAGCTTTTATGAATGACCGACAAATGACATTGTTGACAGCTAGACTTTGGAATGTCAATGAGATTTCAGTTGAGACTTGAACGAGATCTGTAATTTACTTCCTGGTTAAAATAGAGATAAATATAGATTTAAATACCCATACCTGAGGCCTGTTTAACAGAGCGAACATTTGCCAGCGCTCGCAAACATTCTTTATACCTCCATTAAAAAACTTCCATGACATCACCCATTGTTAATATAAGTCTATGTATATATTTAAGGAATGTTTTTAAATTTAGTGTGAATTATTGGTGTGTGAAAAATCACACAGACTTGTCACTTAGGCATATTTCATGAAGCGTGCTAGCGCTTCAAGAAAAATATGCCTTATATTTACATTTTTCAGTGTCTAAAAGTACCAAAACTATATTGCTGCAATATATATATAAATCCAACTGACACAAACTATATTAAGGAATTTACAGTACATTGTTGTTACTCATGTCTCTCTGTCCGTCTAGCTGTCCGTTCATCGGTCTGTCACTTTTCTTCCTTGAACTCCTCTTACATTTTACACAGTAGCCTAATCATTTTTAGTTAGATATGCAGTAAGGTTTCAGAATTTTCATTTGATAGTTCACATGAATTTAAGAAGTGGAACTTTGGCAATTTTTATCCAGACACTCATTGATGAAAAAGAAAATATTATTTGCAATTGAAGCATAAACTTAATATAGTTCCATAATACAGTAATTTATAAGTGTATATTTTGTGTATTACAGATTGCTATGGGTCTGCCCCTGTACCGGTTGAAGGATATCAGACAGCTGTATGAAGTGGATACCTGGGGGGACAGTCCTGTTGATTTCTCTAACCCCTCCATACACCCCCGACCCCGGGGCCATGTCATAGCAGCCAGGATTACCAGCGAAAACCCAGACGAAGTAAGAATCTATAAAAAGATATACTTTTGTGAACTAAGAATGAAAAAATCAATATGTCAGGAAATGGAGTTATATCTCTTGTGGAGCTAATTCAAAGGAGAACAAGCAAATTCAAAGAATTGTGGTCCCCCGCTTTCGGTATCTTTGTGGGCAAGATATTATTTTTAGGGTCAAGGTCAATAGGTCAAAGATTTTTGTATCCCATGAAAGGTCTTGCCATAAAGAATACATATACTGTGAAATCACAAATTTTCGTGGGGGTTTAATTTTCGTTGTTTTCGTGGTATGAAGAGACCCACGAATTTATGTCCACCACGAAATGTAAATTTTCATATGCACAACTACTAAAAAGTTCTTCATCCACGAAATCAAATCCCCACGAACCAACATTTTTTCCTCAAACCACGAAAATTTGACCCCACGAAAATATGTGATTTTACAGTATTTAAAATATGAAAGTCCTAGTTTCTACCGTTCAAAAGTTGTGACCAAGGTTAACATTTTTAAAAAGTAGTTAAAACTCCAAGGTCAAGGTCAAAGGGTCAAAGTTCTTGGTATGCAATGAAAGGTCTTCTCACAAGGATTACATACGTGAAATACGAAAGCCCTAGCTTTTACTGTTTAAAAGTTATGGTAAAGGTTAAAGTTTTTTCAGAAGTACGTAAATCTCCAAGGTCAAGGTCCAAAGGTCAAAGTTGTTGGTATCCAATAAAAGGTGTTGCCTCAAAGAATACATGTGTGAAATATAAAAGTTCTTGTAGCCACCGTTCAAAAGTTGTGACCAAGGTTATAATTTTTAAAAAGTAGTTAAAACTCCAAGGTCAAGGTCAAAAGGTCAAAGTTCTTGGTATCCAATAAAAGGTCTTCTTACAAGAATAACATATGTGAAGTATAAAAGCCGTAGCCCTTACCGTTCAAAAATTATGGTCAAGGATATAGTTTTTTCATAAGTAGGTTAATTTCCAAGGTCAAGGTCAAAAGGTCAAAGTTGTTGGTATTCAATGAAAGGTCTTGTCACAAAAAATTAATATGTGAAATATGAAAGTCCTAGTACCTACCATTCAAAAGTTATGGCCAAAGTAAAAATTTTGAATTTTTTAGTAAAAGTAGTTAAAACTCTAAGGTCAAGGTCAAAAGGTCAAATTTGGTGGTATCCAAAGAAAGGTCTTGTCACAAGGAATACACATATGAAATATGAAAATCATAGCTCCACTAAATCAAAAGTTATGGGCAAGGTTAAAGTTTTTGTGACGGACGGACAGACTGACGGACAGACGGACAGACGAATGAGATTTAATGTCCCCTCGCTTTCGCGAAAGCGGGGGACAAAAAATGTTTCCTTTCTTAATTTTTAGCTCTTCTGAGCCAAAGGCTCAAAGAGCTAATGCTATGGCCATTTATGCGGTGTGCGTTAACTTTTTAGAATATGGGCCATAACTCAAGAACCCCTTGGCCAATCAGTACCAAATTTGCCACAGGGTATCCTTGGCCGAAGGGCTACCATTTATACTTAAATAAGGGTTGGGACCCTAAAACAAGGGGAGATAATCAGGAAAACAAAACCAAAAGTACTAGTTGCTAAAAAATCTTCTTCTCCAGAACCGCCTGGCAGATTTTCACCAAACTTACATACAAGGATCAGGATATGTTGAAGATTAAAAATTGTTCAAGGCATGACCCTGGGGCAAAGGGCGTGGCCTCAAGGTCACTTTGAAGTTGACCTAAATTTACAATTAATAAGAATGTTTATATTTTGCTTACTATACGGGCTAGGATCATCAAATCTTGTAAGTTGATGCATCTTAGGACTTCACATCATGTTAACTCAAAAGTAGGTCACGGTGACCTACTTTTTAAATTTTGCGGGCATTTGTTTTCAAATTGATTTGAAGGCATATTTTGGACACTTTAAGGCCTATGATCATGAAACTTAGTCAGTTGATGCATCTTGGGTCCTTGAACAATGTCAACCTAAAAGTAGGTCACCGTGACCTACTTTTTGAACTTTATGACTTAACCTTTTTAAAACATTAAATTCCATTTTTTCAGGCACTGAAAGGGTTAGAATCATCAAATTTTGTAAGTTGCTGCATCTTGGGACCTTAAAACATATTTTAGAAAAAGTAGGTCACTGTGACCTACTTTTAGAATTTTGCAGGCATGTTTTCAAATTGTTTAAAAGGCATTTTTTGATTACCTTCAGACCTACAATCATCAAACTTGGTCAGGAGATGCATCTTTGGACTCTGAAAAATGTCGACCAAAATGTAGGTCACGGTGACCTACTTTCGACATTTTATGGCTTTATGTAAGTATCTTAGGTATTTATTGGCTTAGAATCATCAAACTTTGTGAGTTGATGCATCTTGGGTTTTTGGAGAGTGACGACCAAAAATTAGGTCACGGTGACCTACTTTTGACATTTTATGGCTATATTTAAGTATCTCCGGTACTTATTGGCTTAGAATCATCAAACTTTGTAAGATGATGCATCTTGGGTTTTTGGAGAGTGACGACCAAAAATTAGGTCAAGGTGACCTAATTTCGACATTTTATGGCGATGTTTAAGTATCTCCGGTACTTATTGGCTTAGAATCATCAAACTTTGTAAGATGATGCATCTTGGGTTTTTGGAGAGTGACGACCAAAAATTAGGTCAAGGTGACCTAATTTCGACATTTTATGGCTATATTTAAGTATCTTGGGTATTTATTGGCTTAGAATCATCAAATTTTTTGAGTTGATGCATCTTGGGTTTTCAGAGAGTGACGACCAAAAATTAGGTCATGGTGACCTAATTTTGACATTTATGGCTATATTTAAGAATTTCCTTTGCAAATTGGCTTAGAATCATCAAACTTTGTCAGTTGATGCATCTAGGGTTTTAGGAGAGTGATGACCAAAAATTAGGTCACAGTGACCTACTTTTGACATTTTATGGCTATATTTGAGTATCTTTGGTATTTATTGGCTTAGAATCATCAAACTTTGTGAGTTGATGCATCTTGGGTTTTCGGAGAGTGACAACCAAAAATTAGGTCACGGTGACCTACTTTTGACATTTTATGGCTATATTTAAGTTTCTCCGGTACTTATTGGCTTAGAATCATCAAACTTTGTCAGTTGATACATCTTTGGTTTTCGTAGAGTGACAACCAAAAATTAGGTCACAATGACCGGTACTTATTGGCTTAGTTTCTCCAGTACTTATTGGCTTAGAATCATCAAACTTTGTCAGTTGATGCATCTTGGGTTTTCTGAGAGTGACAACCAAAAATTAGGTCACAGTGACCTACTTTCGACATTTTATGGCTATATTTAAGTATCTCAGGTATTTATTGGCTTAGAATCATCAAACTTAGTCAGCAGACGTATCTTTGGACTCTGAAATATGTAGACTAAAATGTAGGGCATGGTGACCTTCTTTCATCATTTTATGGCTATATTTAAGTATCTCTGGTACTTATTGGCTTAGAATCATCAAAGAGTCATTTGATGCATCTTGGGTTTTCGGAGAATGTCGACCAAAAAGTAGGTTACGGTGACCTACTTTCGACTTTTTATGTCTATATTTAAGTATCTTAGGTATTAATGGCTTAGAATAATCAAACTGTGTAAGTTGATGCATTTGGGGTTTTCCAAGAATGTAGACCAAGAAGTAGTCCTTATTGGCTAAGAATCATCAAATTTGTCAGGTGGTGCAACTTTGGTCTCAGGATACCTAGGGTTAGAGGCTTCAAATACAAGTGATAGGTTGTACATTTTATCAGAAGAGCGATTCAAGGCCCTTGGGCCTCTTGTTATCTGATATATATATATTTTAATTTCTGCCTTTAATTATTCAATAGTGTTTGGGTTGCTGGGATACATATTTATAGAATCTCTATCATGAATGTGATAACTTTCATGATATACAATTATATACTGTATTGAAATCCTTTTTATGCGCCCGGATTGATAGATCTCGGGCGTATATTGTTTTTGTCCTGTCTGTTTGTCTGTTTGTCTGTTTATCTGTTTGTCTGTTTGTCTGTTGTCAACTTTAACCTTGGCCATAACTTTTGAACAATAAGAGATAGAGACTTCATATTTGGTATCCACTAATAAAGTCCTTTCAAATGGCATCAAGGTCAATGACCTTGTGACCTTGACTGTGACTTATATGCTAAAAATTGCTTTTTCCACTGTTTCTCATAACTTTTTAACCATAGGAGATAGGGACTTCATATTTGGTATGCATACTCCACTAATAAAGCCCTTTTAGTCGACAACAAGGTCAATGACCTTGTGACCTTGACTGTGACCTATATGCTAAAAATAGCTTTTTACACTTTTTGCCATAACTTTTGAACCAAAGTGATAGGAACTTCATATATGGGATGCATACTCCACTGATTAAGTTCTTTCAAATGACACCATGGTCAATGACCTTGTGACCTTGACTGTGATCTATATGCTAAAAATAGCTTTTTACACTTTTTGCCATATCTTTTGAACCATAGAAGATAGGGACTTCATATTTGGGATGCATGCTCCACTGATTAAGTTCTTTCAAATAACACCATGGACAATGACCTTGAATGTGACCTATATGCTAAAAATAGCTTTTTACTCTTTTTGCCATAACTTTTAAACCATAGGAGATAGGGACTTCATATTTGGGATGCATACTCTACTGATTAAGTTCTTTCAAATGACATCACGGTCAATGACCTTGTGACCTTTACTGTGACCAATATGCTTAAAATAGATTTTTTTAACTTTGTTGCCGCCGGGCACATAGTGTTTCACAAACACATCTTGTTTTTCCTAGGGATTTAAGCCTAGTTCTGGGACTGTCCAGGAGTTGAATTTCCGTAGCAGTAAGAATGTGTGGGGGTATTTCAGTGTGTCTGCCACGGGGGGACTACATGAGTACGCTGACTCTCAGTTTGGACACTGCTTCTCCTGGGGAGAGAACAGGGAGGACGCCAGAGAGTGAGTGGGGGGGAAGGTTGAGGGGGGGGGGGGTTATGGTATTGCCAGATATCAGGATATTTTGTATCAAAAGGAATATCAAATAAATTGCATTTATTTATTTTCTGTTCAAAGGAAAATGTTCACTTTCTTTAGTTAGAATAAATTATTTATGCATACATTAATTAATTTTCACCAACCATTTTAAATTCCCCTCATTGAAATAGCCCCTGATATAACTAAAGGATTAATTTGAAAAAAATGAAGAGGAATTATAAGCATGGTCAATACTTTTGATACTTCATTTCAAACAAATCATAGGAATCTAGTGGTGGCATTGAAGGAGCTCTCAATCCGGGGAGACTTCCGAACCACTGTGGAATACCTCATCAAACTCTTCGAGACAGAGGAATACCAGAACAACAAGATAACGACGGGCTGGCTGGACAAGCTGATATCTGAGAACGTCCAGGCAGAGAAGCCGGACGTCATGCTGGGGGTGATATCCGGAGCGCTCCACATCGGGGACCACCAGATCCAGGAGTGCTTCCAGATGTTCCAGACCTCGCTGGAGCGCGGACAGATCCTGCCGGCCACGTCACTCAAAAACCACGTGGATGTGGAGTTCATCAGCGAGGGCATCAAGTATAACGTCAAGGTAAGGTCAAGGACCGGGCTTGTTTGAACATTTTTACCGATTTGGATTTCATGAATGTAAGGTTGTTGTACATGTATCAATACTGTACAAGAGGAAAACACTGTTCAAATAATGTGTAAAATAATGCTGTTAACTATTTTTCATTAAATACCTATGAAAACAGTTTTTGTCATTTTTTTTTTCTAGGTGGTGAAGACGGGGCCAAACAACTACTTTATTTGTATGAATGACTCCATGCTGGAAGTGGAGGCACACAGGTGATTTAGAGAGCAGTTTGATTATTCAAATGAAAAATGTGTGAAATTTTAACCATGATTGATACATTTATCAAGAATAATGTATCTGTATTTAGGGAAATTAAAAAAAATAAAGTTACAGAAACTTTATATATAAATTGTAAGATTAATACTGTTAACCAACTTTTACTTGTGACGACTTTATTTTGAGATATACTGTGGATAAACTAGTTTGGAACGACTTTTTTTTGCGGTCAAGTCTTTTTTGGATCCATTTTTAATAGACACAGAAACTTTATTTAAGGACCGCTTGATGGTGAAAAATATTCTCAATGATGAAACTTTCACGAAAATTTCTCCTACGCTAATAAAAGTTGATTTTAATTACTTTTGTTTACAGACTTAGTGATGGGGGTTTGTTAATTTCGTTTGATGGAGCCAGCTTCACTACTTACATGAAGGACCAAGTAAGCAGCTACAGGATTACTATAGGAAACAAGACCTGTGTACTTCATAAGGAGAATGATCCTACCAAACTCAGGTATTGTATAAAACAGTTACAGGATTACTATAGGAAACAAAACCTGTGTACTTCATAAGGAGAATGATCCTACCAAACTCAGGTATTGTATAAAACAGTTACAGGATTACTATAGGAAACAAGACCTGTGTACTTCATAAGGAGAATGATCCTACCAAACTTAGGTATAATAGGAAACTGTTTAAAGGGAGAAAACTCTGGTACAAAATCAAAAACTTCTAAAGATATTGTGCTTTAGTTAAGAAATGTAACATCACAGAAACTGTGTATTTTTTGTGGCTGCATCCAAATATTTAGGTTCTATTTTAAACTCTTCAGACACAGATGTGTTAAAAGACAGATAACTCTTGTTAAATTCAAAGATGACACAAATAAAATTGGAGTGAAAATTTCCCTTCAGTGGATGGTCTATTTATTCCTTCATGTATAATAAAGATTTGAGAATTTTTCTGTTTTCTCTTAAGGTCCCCCTCTGCAGGGAAGCTGTTGAACTACATGATAGATGACGGAGGCCATGTGTTTGCTGGGGATGTGTACGCTGAGATAGAAGTGATGAAGATGGTCATGGAACTCAGGGTCACAGAAAATGGATGGTAAAGGATACAAATTAGGAATTTAGAGGATTTGGATTATTGAGTCTCTAAGTGATGAATGAAATAAAGAAAAAAAGAGATTGGAAATCTGTATTTTTAGCTCTTCTGAGCCAAAGGCTCAAATAGCTAATGCTATGGCCATTTGTGCGGTGTGCGGTGTGCGGTGTGCGTTAACTTTTTAGAATATGGGCCATAACTCAAGAACCCCTTGGCCAATCAGTACCAAATTTGCCACAGGGTATCCTTGGCGGAAGGGCTACCATTTATACTAAAATAAGGGTTGGGACCCTAAAACAAGGGGAGATAATCAGGAAAACAAAACCAAAAGTACTAGTTGCTAAAAAATCTTCTTCTCCAGAACCGCCAGGCAGATTTTCACCAAACTTACATACAAGGATCAGGATATGTTGAAGATTAAAAATTGTTCAAGGCATGACCCTGGGGCAAAGGGCGTGGCTTCAAGGTCACTTTGAAGTTGACCTTAATTTACAATTAATAAAAATTTTTATATTTTGCTTACTATACGGGCTAAGTGTAAGTTGATGAATCTTAGGACTTCACATCATGTTAACTCAAAAGCAGGTCACGGTGACCTTTTTTAAAATTTTGCGGGCATTTGTTTTCAAATTGAATTGAAGGCATATTTTGGACACTTTAAGGCCTATGATCATGAAACTTAGTCAGTTGATGCATCTTGGGTCCTTGAACCACTTCAACCCTTAAAGTAGGTCACCGTGACCTTCTTTTTGAACTTTATGATTTAACCTTTTTAAAACATTAAATCCCATTATTTCAGGCACTGAAAGGGTTAGAATCATCAAATTTTGTAAGTTGCTGCATCTTGGGACCTTAAAACATATTTAAGAAAAAGTAGGTCACTGTGACCTACTTTTAGAATTTTGCAGGCATAAGTTTTCAAATTGTTTAAAAGGCAGTTTTTGATTACCTTCAGACCTACAATCATCAAACTTGGTCAGGAGATGCATCTTGGGACTCTGAAAAATGTCGACCAAAATGTAGGTCACGGTGACCTACTTTCGACATTTTATGTGAGTTGATGCATCTTGGGTTTTTGGAGAGTGATGACCAAAAATAAGGTCACGATGACCTACTTTAGACATTTTATGGCTATATTTAAGTATCTCCTGTACTTATTGGCTTAGAATCATCAAACTTTGTAAGATGATGCATCTTGGGTTTTTGGAGAGTGACGACCAAAAAATAGGTCAAGGTGACCTAATTTTGACATTTTATGGCTATATTTAAGTATTTTGGGTATTTATTGGCTTAGAATCATCAAATTTTGTGAGTTGATGCATCTTGGGTTTTCAGAGAGTGAGGACCAAAAATTAGGTCATGGTGACCTACCGTATATACTCGCCTATAAGTCGGATTTTTGGGAGTTAATCTCTGGTCCAAAACGCTATGTCCGACTTAAAGGTGAGCTATTAAATGAATGGTTTTATATGAGGTCAGTCCCTATGGTATAAAGCTTTTAAGATACCTTATAGGCGGACCGACTTATAGGCGAGTATATACGGTAATTTTGACATTTATGGCTATATTTAAGTATTTCCTTTACAAATTGGCTTAGAATCAAACTTTGTCAGTTGATGCATCTCGGGTTTTAGGAGAGTGATGACCAAAAATTAGGTCACAGTGACCTACTTTTGACATTTTATGGCTATATTTAAGTATCTTTGGTATTTATTGGCTAAGAATCATCAAACTTTTTGAGTTGATGCATCTTGGGTTTTCGGAGAGTGACGACCAAAAATTACGTCACGGTGACCTACTTTTGACATTTTATGGCTATATTTAAGTATCTCAGGTACTTATTGGCTTAGAATCATCAAACTTTGTCAGTTGATGCATCTTGGGTTTTCGGAGAGTGACAACCAAAAATTAGGTCACAGTGACCTACTTTCGACATTTTATGTCTATATTTAAGTATCTTAGGTATTTATCGGCTTAGAAGCATCACTGGGTGAAAAAAGTGGTTTCCCATCATGGGAAACTTTATGGAAACCACATGGAAACCTCAAGTTTACATCATGTTTCCCAGTGGTTTCCGTAGCGGATGCTAGGTTATTCCGCCAAGTTTCCGTGACACGGAAACCCCCTACGCTCCGATTCCATAAGGTATCCCGAACCACGGAAACCTCTGTAAACCTGAAGTTTCCCGAACATCCATGTAGTTTCCCGTAATGGGAAACCTGAAGATTCCACTGGTTTCCAGAATAAGGAAACTTGATGGAATCGGAGCGTAGGGGGTTTCCGTGGAATGGAAACTTGGTGGAATCTTTAGGTTTCCCATTACAGGAAACTACATGGATGTTCGGGAAACTTCAGGTTTACAGAGGTTTCCGTGGTTCGGGATACCTTATGGAATCGGAGAGTAGGGGGTTTCCGTGTCACGGAAACTTGATGGAATCTTTAGGTTTCCTTATACGTGAAACTACATGGAAGCTAGGGAAACCTTACGATTCTTAAAGTTTCCTCGACTCAGGAAACCATATGGAATATGAGCGTAGTGGTTTCTGTGGAATGGAAACTTGATGGAATCTTAAGGTTTTCTTTTATGGGAAACTACATGGAAGCTCGTGAAACCTTATGATTCCTACAGTTTCCTTGACTCAGGAAACTATATGGAACTTGTGTAACACTTTCTGTGTAGCGGAAACTTGGTGGAATTATCTGGAGTCCCATTCCTGGTGGAAATTACTGGGAAACTTCAAGATTCCCTAACTTTTCTAAAGGAAGCAATGTGAAATAATGTGAATTCTTTTAAAAATCTATCAAAAAAATTTATTACATGTAAAAGAAAAAAGCATTACCATTTTATATGTTTAATAATTCATTTGATGTACAAAAACTGTAACTGAATTTTTCAATGATATCAAAATATTAAATAAATCCATATATCTTAGATAAACAATGGAACAGTCTTTAACATTTAAGTCCATTCATAAGGGTCATTAAGTACTTCTTTCAACATCAGTTTCCTGGTTTTCTTCACATCACCTTTGATCTGCAATATTCATACAAAATTATTATATGATGTCAGAATTATAATACTTGAATATAACTTAGAAATCTGAAAGATCAGTCAATGTCCTTTAATATACCAATATCAATAATTACTTTCCATGACCATGATACATATGATTTCAGCTTTTAATGTATTTCTTTAATATTTAATGCTTTATGATAAGTGAAAAAAAATAACATAAGGCCAAGCTTTAAAAATTCTTTGTTTGCAGTTGCCGACCTATAATTTTTAGTCTGAGTAGGTAGGTAGGCAATTTTTTTTTTTTTTTTGAAAAAAAAATATTTCCAGATCTTTGTTAGACAACATAAAATAAAGTTTTTCATAGGCCTACTTTACATGAATAAGCTGCACTCTTGGTATGATTGATAAAGAAAAAATTGAAAATGAAACAGTTTTAATATCCTGAAAAATTTTGAGAGAAAAAAAATATTACAAAATGGCGAAAAAAAAGTTTGGGTCGGGTGCATTTTCAGTGGGTCGGTCGACAACTGCAAACAAACAATATTTTATTTTAAGCCTAATATAAATTATGTTTTCAGCCTTATTATGTCATTGAGAATATATTACTACATGTATCTCATACTAAGAACCCTGCTTTAAGTTTGATTAGTTTGAGAGAAAACATACTCTTTATAATAAAAAAAATATTTGGGAGAGATTTTTTATTTTGATATTCGACCTAGAAATTGATTGAAGATCATTGCAGACCCTCCACCCCATTGCACAAAAGCTAGATTACACCAGGCAGGGGAGAAATATACTCTGGACTACGATTTTAAATAAAGATATACAGTAGATCTTGATACTGACCTTTGACCTAGAAAATTGGTCCAAGGTCACTCTTCATCCACTATCCACAGGCTCTCTGTAGTTTAAGTTTGAGAGAGAAATATGCTCAGAACAAGTGATATCAGATGGAGTGATGGGTAGACACTGTCTTAGGGCATCCACAGAACAGGACCTAAAAATAATGCAATATATATGTATTACAGTATAGATACACATGTACTTGTATATTAATGACTTATCATATGCTGCATTGGACACATATGATTTTATCATGGTTTAAGTATACATGCATCTTATGAGTAATTTTATACCGGTATTGCATGTACGCTCAGTTTATTTAAGAAATAACAAGTTTATAAACTTCAATGGGAGAGATACCACAAATGTATATATAAACAAGTAATTTAATTTTTTTTTTTACATATATTGTCCAACATTATTTACACCCATTCAGCATGTTCATAAATTGGCTGATCAAAATTCAGTCAGTTTTAGATCTATATGATATACCATAAAGGATTTTCACATTTACAAAAGTTATTCCCCTTTGCTGGGTCGATCTGGGGTCAACAGGCTTAAGACGATGTTTTCCGTCTTTAACCGTATCAACTTTGAGGGACAATATCTTAGATATATCTCCTAAATATTTTTGCCGATATGATGTGTAGGCCTAGTATATTTAGAAAAAAAGCGGTAAAATACATGAGGCAAGAGCAGAAATTTTTTTTTCTTGTTTGACACCTCAACTTATCTGCCTTCGGGATATGGGTTTCGGGGCTTGGTTGTTTGTAGTGGCCGTCCTTGCTGAAAGTACCCCCCCCCCCACACACACACACCTCCCCGTTACATGTATGATTATGAATTTATATTTGCATATCCATTGCTCTCTCCCACTATGAACCTGCAGCCAGCAACTGCGTTCATAGTACTATAGACGCAACTGCTTCTGCTATGAGTGCAATTGCTCTAGCTCACTCGTGTAGAACAAGTTCACTGAATAACGTTGTTTATTTCTTAAATAATGTCACACCAAAAGATGTTAAATTTTTAAAAGCACATTTTTTTTTATTGTGAACTTTCCACAGGAATCCTTAAAGGCATGAAAATAAGATACAATTATAATATGATTATCAAGACCAGTTTTTTTTTTATTTCAATAGTGATGATTGAAAAGTTCGGTGTTTA